TAATACCAAAATCAAAAGTTTGTTTTTTTGGGTGGGATAGGTTTTCTGGGAACCTTCCAACCTTTTTAAATATAAGACCTCCTGGAGACCTTCATCAATACTGCTGGTTTGTTTTTTTTTTTGGAGGAGGTTCTCTTTTAAAAAAGAAAAGAAAAGATGTTGAGTGCTATTTGTATCTACACTTCTCTCACTCCCAAATTAGGGTATGTGTGTGATCATGCATGTATGTAAAATCATCCAACCAGAAGTTATTGGATTAAAAATGTCAAATCAGAAATTTGACTGTCCAAAGAAAATGAAGGTGAAAAGATAATAGAATTATAGAATCATAGAGTTGGCAGAGACTCCAAGGGCCATCCACTCCAACACCATTCTGCCATGCAGGAAGACACAAAGCAGTGGTGTCATGGGGGGAGGATTGCACCAGATTACACCCATAAGAGGGGTGACATCTGCCCCAGAGCACCCCTCTTCTCCTTGTTTCAAAAGATTTTATACACAGTATGAAACAGTTCATATAAAATCTTTTCAAACTGCATGTCCCATACGGTGATCATCATAGTTTTGTCCAGAGTACTGTACATATTACAGTATTGCATTGGCTGCTGAAACTTATTAAAAATTAAGTTGTACAATAGCAAGTAATTCCCATTTGCAACTCTCTTTAAATGGTCTGTCTGTCTGTCTGATCCACCAAATATAACGTGGCTGGAGGGATGCACACACATCCCTCCAGTGAGTTAATTTGGACATGTGGAAATCCAGGGGAAAGTGTCCCTATGTTAAGAAACTAACTGGATTATATTGTGTCAATCACACTCACTTAGTCTGATTTATTTATGGATTGGAGAATATGAAGTATGAAGTGCAGGGGAATAGATACCACCTTGTATCCACCTTGAGCTAACCGTGTATACCATCTTGAGCTAATGGGAAGCAAATCTGGATGGAAATTTAATTATTTAACTTGTAGTTTGTTGGCTAACTTGAATGTAAAGGTAATAAATAAATAAATAAATAAATAAATATTCTTCAGCCGATTTGAAAAGTTGCATCTAACAGGAGTCTTGGGGGGTTGGATTAATAGCAATTTTTCTTCCTCCTGGCTTTAGTGCATCTTTTCTTCTCCTCTGTTTTTGTATGTTTTGTGTGCTTTCAAGTTGTTTCTGACTTATGGCAACCCAAAGGAGAAGCTATCATGGGGTTGTCTTGGTGAGATGTGTTCAGAGGGGTTTGCCTTTGCCTTCCTCTGAGACTGAGAGAATGGGATTTGCCCTAGGTAACTCATTGGGTTTCCATAGCTGGGGAGGGATTTGAACCCTGGTTTCCCGAGATACAGTTCAGTGCTCAAACCACTAGACCACACTGGCTCTCTCTCCAGCTTTACTGTAATTGGTTTTGACATAGTGCTGAAAATAAACAATGGAGTCCTCCGAGTCTGATGGTTTAAAATAAAAGGGTGAGTATTGTGTGGTTTTTTTGTTTTGTTTTTTTTTGCCTCTAGCTCTTCCATCTGCCTAACATCTCCAATTGTTTTTCTCCTGTTTGGTTTGTAACATCTTGCCTGATGAAGAAGCCCATGGAGCTTCGAAAGCTTGCAACAAATATATTGTGCATTTTGGTTGGTCAATAAAGGTATCACTGATGGATTTTTTTTTTCCATTCTGGAAGTGAGTGGAAAGTTAAATGGGAATCACGATTGTAAATTAGGAGCCCTAAACCTTGACAAATAACAGGGAAGATTTCAAAGGATGTTTGGCATGCTGGCTGTGTTCAAAGCTAAATTTTTCCTTGCTTTATCAGAGGAAAATCTTCAAACTAATTAGTTGCATTCTTCCAAATCAAAGAGAGCACTTTCTCCTCTACATAGCTTTGGGGTGATATTAAAGGAGTTGGTTTCTGAAATGACACCCTCACCTAAAGGAGAAAGAACACAAGTGTTATTCTTTTATTCTCCAGTTGGCCGTTGGGGGTGTGCGCCTTTATTTGAGCACTTTGGATTTCATCAGTATGCATCTCATGAGAACACCCCAGTGCTTTGTTATTGTGGTTGTTGTTGTTGTTGCTGCTGCTGCTATTTCTGCCCATTTTCTTCCCCAGCTCTATAGCAGCAGAAAAGAGGTACAGTCTCATTTGTGGACTGCACGCCAAGCAGCAAAATAATTTGGATTATTTTGGGCTTTGCCAGATGCCTCAGGGACTATTAGTATTATAGAGTGACAGGGAATAGGCACAGGGATTTCTGATCCTTTCAAGTCAAGGACGTCTTCCTCTTTCCCCATTTGTTGTGTTTCTGTTGGCCCAGATTCAACACTCCTTCTCAGCTGTACTGGCACTGCTCTCCAAGAAACAAAGGGAAGAGCAGAGATTGAACACAGAGCCTTCTCATCATTCCTCTTCAAAGAAGTTTGCACAGGGTGACCAGATGTCCTCCTTTTCCAGGACATGTCTTCCATTTAAACCTTCAGTACAGGAAGAATTTCAAAATGTCTTTTATTTTGAGCATGGCTAAGAAGCCCATTGAATAACACCATGTTTGCTACTCCTTTTGAGGAATGTATCTACTTGGCAACCTGTCTTCATTGCAAATAGGGGGATAAGATGGATCCTTCTAAAATTCTCTTTTTCCTAAGATCAGCAGCAGACAAGACTTGCCCTCAGAGTGTATGGACATTTGTTTCTTGGAGAGAGAAAGAACAGCAAACACATTAGGCAATGGGCTGCTTGAGGACACAATGCAAATGCTGAAAGGATTTTTTCCTTAATTTCAGCACAATGGACAAATGAATGGAGTAATTTAGATGCAGATTCAGTCATGGGATTGTTGCTAGTGAAGTACAATTTTAAGCATTTGTCTTAGTGAGAGTTCTATAAGTATCATGCAAGCCAGCAAGGCATTGCTGTTCGTTAGAAAAATATGGTTAAATGCATAATAAAATACAGTATATATCATACAGCTGTAATTAAACCATATGAAATGAATTTATAATTTATATTAGTGTTTTTGGCTTTCATTTTGTAATGTCCTACATTTTTCTTAAATGTCCAATATTTTGTGGTGCCTTGTCCTCCTTTATAGTTAAGACATCTGGTCACCTTGGGTTTGCAGAACCGACGTGGAAGGCAGCAATGGGGTTGGTTTGCCCCAGACCAAAGAATGCTCCTCCTCCCCATCTTAATACTTCTGAAAATCCCCTCCCCAACATTTCACAGTGACAACAAGGACACATGTGGCCAAGCAACATCAGAGTGTGGACAAGATGGGAAAAGTTAATGAGGAAGAAGAAACAAGCTAGAAGAAGCGGCAGCAGTTTGCTTTTGCCTGAGCCTAGTGGGAAGGACAATATTTTGCCCCCTCTTCTCTTCTCGTCCCTGCTGAGTTAATGGAGTGCAAACTACTTCTGTACTTTGAACTCAGTTAACAGTAATTGAAGCAGGCTGAGGATGAAGGGAGGAAAGGGAGGACAAGAGAGAATCTGAAAAAGCAGGATGACAGAGGATTCCCAGTAGGCTCAGGCAAAAGCAAACTGTTTGAGCCCTTCATAGCTTGTATCGCCTACGTTATTAATACCTCCCGTCATCTTGACCACACTGATGTTGCTTGGCCAGATGTTTCTAGGAGGTTTTCATCTGTGAAATCTTGAAGACCAATTCATATGCATCTCCTGAGTTCCATGCTCAGTATTCTTCCAACAATAGGCACCCATTTATTTTTCACAGCAACACATATTAGGCCATTGTTTCCCTTTGTTTAAGATGAGTGAAGAATTTTCTTCAGCAGGGCCTGTTCAGCTTTGAATAATTTAGCCTCCAATTCAAAGGCTTATTCAGCACATCAGAGGTAATTTTAGCCAGAAAAATGTGTATAGCTTTTCTGTGACCAGGGGAGAGAGAAAAATTCTCTTTCATTTAGCCAACTTGGGGTGGGGGAAGTGAGCAAGCGAGTGAACATGGTGGCCTCATTTTATTTTAAACAAGCTGGTCTTTTTGATCTGATCTCACTGTGGCAGGTCATCTGAGCTCTTGCCTGTGGGCCAGGCAGAGATGTAAGTTCTAAAAATTCTAATATTTAATAAAAATCTGTCATTTAGGCAAAGACTGAGTATTGTGATTCCCTCCCTCTCCTGTTATTGCTCAGTATTATGCAGGAAACACACTAGTTTAATTTGATGGAAGAAGTAATTTAAAGCAGGAATGTGCAACCACTGGCTCTTTAGATGTTCTTAGACTGCAACTCCCATCATCCATCATCTGTGGCAATGATGGCAAGGATTGATGGGGATTGGCATCCAACAATAACAAGAGTTAACAAGAGTTAAAAGAAATGAATTGTATTTATAGGTATTTTTAAATAAGGGTTTCATTAGGCTTGCCAAATCTCAGGGTCTAGCCCTGAGTCTCCAGTTTTTGTGGATCATCTCCAGGCAGTAGATGAGGCTATGGATTCTCCAGTTTTGCTGGTTTCAGCTCCAGATAAGAGGAAAGGGCTGTGTGCAAATCTCTCGCTCAGTTGGCAGCTTCCTACACTTTGTAAGGCTTAGCTGATTCATTGCTGCAGGGCATTTATGTATTTATTTATTTATTTAGTTTCCTCCTTCCCTCCCAGTTGTTGTGGTACTAGGACTAACCCTCTATTCTTCTCTACATCCAACCTCTGGCTAAAAACAAGTAGACTAGATTAAAGGGTCCTTATACTAACTTCCCAAGTGAGAAGGAACAATGCTCTCATTTTACTGTGATCTGGGAACAGCCACTTTAGTTAAGATTTCTGTCTTAATTTTCAAACAGGAAAAATATGCTCTTTTTGTACATGTTAGTGTGTTTGAAATACATTGGGGTTGGTAATGTATAATGCTTAACAAGATCATCAGGGGCCATCCCTAGGTCTCAGGTTTTGGTTGGGAAATCTCAGGGCCTGGGAATGATCCTGAACAGGCTGCATTTCTGCACCAAATGACATTGTTTAAATCCTATTGATCTGAATGGTATAGATACCATGAACCAGAGTGGTGTAGTGGTTTGAGTGATGGACTATTACTCTGGAGATCAGGGTTCGATTCACTGCTGGGCCATGGAAACCAACTGGATGACTTGGTTGAGTCATATACTCTCAGCCCCAGAAAACCCCAAGTTAGGTTCGGTTCACCTTAGGGTTGCCATAAGTCAGAAACTACTTGAAGGCACACAACAACAATGAATATCTTAACTGCGGTAAGGATGGCATGTTTGGTTTCTGTGGAGAATATAGTAACATCTCTGCTCCTGAGGAGCTGACAGCTGAAAAGAGATGATGTAGAAAAAAAACCAACAGAGGAAGGGACATGGTGTTCAGCCCAGCTTTTCCAAGGCAATGTGCCACAAAACAGACATTAATTAGTAAATGGTGATGTTTGAGATACCTCACTTCAGCAACCTCACTGCAATATAGTTTGTACACTTAAGAGCTATGGTGTGTGTGTATGGGTAGGTAGGTGTACATCCAGTACCTGTTTGTGCTTCAGTTTCAGAATTGTGTCAAAAAGCTACATACCAGGTTTTACTCAGTGCTCTCAGTGATCAAGAGAAGTTTTGCATTGCATTGAATTTTTCAGCATTCCTGGTCCTCTTGTCAAAGAGGTTAAGATGGGGACTACATTTAAAACCACACTATTGGGCCCTAAATATGCTCAATACAATATTAAATGTAATTAATATCTCTCTATCTTCAAGGCACACTTTGGACATTATCACACGGGGTCTAAAGCAGACAGAATCCACACTAAATCCCATCCTATTGAGCTTTATTTTTCCGTGTGTTCACACGACGTCACACAGAACCCCGTCACAACCCCATCCCAATGCGGCATCATGCCCGTTCTTTTGAATGCCGGTTTCTTGGGGAATTGCAATTGCGCGACCAGAATGATAGAGCAATCATTGCGCTTTCTCCGTATGTCTGATCACCAAATACGTATGTGCAAGAACATCCTTGCTGGGTTCTGTACGAGATCTTCTCACTTGTGTGTGAACAGCAAATACGGTTCCTGGGGGGCGCTTCATCGCGCTTTCGTTAATTGCGCGATGATGCTAGTTGCATCTGATAGCCATTTCCGTATTGTGGGGTTTCTACCAGTATAGTTCTGGATTGATTCTTATATCGCTTTCTTGCCACTTTGAGCCCCATGTGTGATAAGGTCCTATGTGTGGTTGTATGTTTTGTATTTTCCTTTCCCTATTGCAAATGAATACAAGGGACATTTAAAACACCATGAGGCCTAAATACCCTGAAGGCACCAGATCCTGTCTGATCTTGGAAACTAAACATGGTCAGCCCTGGTTAGTACTTGGATGGGAGACCACCAATGAATACCAGATGCTGTAGGCTATATTTCAGAGGAAGGGACTGGTAAAACCACCGCTGAGTATACTTGCCTAAGAAAACCCTATGAAATTCATGGGTTCGCCATAAGTTGACTGGTGATGTGAAGGCACATACACACACAAAAGGTCCAGATGCCCACCTCCAACTTCTTATACAGTTTAACAGTAAGATTTCTCAGTGTTAATACAACAGTCTTTATGTAATTGATACCCAGGACCAGGGCACCCCCCCCACAATTATTTTCTAGAACATAATGATTAAAAATAAACTTACTTTCCTCCCCAGTAGAGTTTTGTTGTAATGACCAGACTTGACCTCCTAAACAAACAAAATACATTAAAATTTCAGTTTTGTTATGCAGCAGATTATGAAGCAAATGCTAACTTCAGTACTGCAAAATGTACAGGGTCAAGTGCTGGGCCCACAATGCATGAGGATTCTAGGAGCTGTAGTTAAAAAGAGGAAGCTTTCTAAGCGCTGATGGGACTTGGAAAAACTACATCTATCAACCATAGAATATTGTCTCCTAGTGTCTCACAATTAGAACTAGACATTGAGACAATGGACTAAGGCATTGGGTATACAGGGCCCCTACTTGCCCCTATTATGCAAGTTATCCTCAGATCATTTTCTTCCATGCAGCATCAGGAAAGGTCAGTTCAGCTGAAGTCAAATAGCTTTCCTGTCTTTGGTCAGAAAACCAGAAGAATCTCAATGAGAGCCTGGCAATGGGCTTGGATTCGAGATCAATTCTGCAAAGCTTTGATGAGGAAAGGCAAGACTTTCACAGGAGATCTGTGAGGCTGAATTTAATATTCTCAATTCTACTATGAACACAAACTGGGTATCAAGAGAATTGAACATTTAAATCTTTACGTTACCTCCAGCCTTTCTTTTTTATTATGTTTCCCAAAATCACCTCTGCTCTGTAAAGACAACAAAAACAACTATATCATGATTCAGAATAAATGTTTTTGAACGTAGGAGTAAGGCAACATGGGAGTAAGGCATGTTGATCACTAGCAGTCTGGTTTACAAGTGCCTATTTTACTGGTTTGTGCTTTCAAATATCAGTATTTTAGTTATTTGCACAATTGCATAGCAAGATAGCATTGAAGTCAGCCTGAATGAATCGCACATACCAGATCTTTTTATTAGTATTTATTCCTGTTATTAGGAAACAATTATTTTTATATTGTCATATCTTGGCCTAAATAAGCTTATAGATAAATTAGCCCTTTGCAACATCTGATATGATCATCCCCTCACCTACAAATGTTGCCTGCTCCTCTATCATACTCAAAAACTATGGTTAATGGTTTCAAAATCAGCCAGGATATTAAATTATGATTTGAAATTGCCTTTATATTTTGGCTTGTTTCAAAGTCATAGGGAGAAAACCACCTCCCATTTGCTCGCTGGGTTGGGGCTGTGGGAACCGCATGCCATGCCCCCAACCTGGCTGTTTCCCAGCACAAAAAGGAGTGGCAGAAAGCAGAAAGCCGCTCCTTTTTGCACCAGGAAAAAGGGTTTTGTGTTTCTGTGGAACAGCGTGTGTAAACGCTGCACCACAGGAATGCCCCAATGCTGCCCGCTGTCTGTTTGGGTGGGTGGTGTGATGCTGAATTGGGGACAGAGTCGAGGCATGCAGCATGTGGTTGCCGCCCCCCACATCACCCCGAAGCTGGCTCTTAATGCTGATCTGCTTAGACCCATAGTTTCCCAAGCTATTTTGCCACCAATAGGAAACTGTAGTTAATGCAAGACTTCCTGTTTTTGTTATTCATTTGAACAAAAAGAGATGCAGAGTTGTGTGTCTACTCAATCATAAGCCAAAATGTGATTGTCTTAATGTAGCTGCTGTGTCCAGGGAGGCCAGACATTACAAACATCACATCAGTAGGCTCCACAGGAAAGGTGCAGCTTGGATCTCAAGGGAACTTACTTTTCTGTTGCTGATGGAGCTGAAATTTGATTATCTGGATTGTCCTGTTCTTTGTTTCCCATTCCCCACATGGTCAAAGAGGGGCCTCTGCCTCCAGACCATCTTAACTGACAATAAAAGTAACACCTTAAGACACAGTGTAGTTCTTTGACTCTGAACTGTGACTTAGTTCAGAGAATTCACCCCATTAGTCAGCAAACTCTAACATTTAACAATTTTGCCTGATGAAGACAGTGAAGCTTGTAAAGCTTTCAAGATGTCTTTTGTGCTTTTTTAGTTCACCCAATAAAGATACAAAGTTTTGTTGATTTGGTATTTCTGTTGTATTTTTCATTTTTATTTGGTTCATGTTCAGAATTTATATTTAAAAATCCTGTTTTGGATAACAACTTCCATAATTCTCCAACTAGCTATACTGTCTAGGGAAAAATGGGAGCCATAGTCCACAAAATAATTTCTCTTAATTTTGATTCTAGTGACAAATTCTGGTAATACAAAATTATTTTTTTATTCTGACTCATATTATACATTGTACAACCTTTAGTTGCATTAGAAGTCAAACCAGTGTATGCACATTGAGTTTCAAAAAGATAATCTATGGAGATCCAGAGTAATGTACAGGCTACAGTGTAATGTCCAAGGTAATGTACAAGAGCATCAGAAAAGCTTGATTCAGCAAGCAGAGTAGATCACAGTACATGGGTGTTGTCAGGACTAAAGAATTTCATCAGCTGCACAAAATACTTAGTTCAGAGAATTCACCCCATTATTCAGCAATTCAAAGCATGTTCTCTTCCCAAGTCTCATCCTTCCTTTTCCCAACCACCCCAAGCTCCAGCTTTCTCACCAAAATGACCTTGGTAATTTACAGCTCATACTTCCTCCCCAAACATCTGCTCATTGTCCCAGGCCAACACCAATACACAATCTTTTCTTTTTCCATCTGCACCAATATGGTAACATAACCTATCACCCTGTATTAATGCTCATATGTCCAACAGAGCATTTCAACATGGCAACAGTTAAGCATGGCAGGACCACTTCTGGACAATGATCCAGGGAAATGGGAAATCCAGATAAGCAGTAGACAAATTTCATACACCTGATCTTGCTTCCCTCCCCTTCCCCCCACTTATGTGTCTGTGGCTGGATGAGAGGCTGGGTGAGAGAGAGGAATGATGTGTGCGAGCAGGGCATGAAACTGAGAGTGTGGCCAGAAGCCTCTGAGCTATTGCTGTGAAATCTAGCACAGAGTTCCCTTTTGTTCAGGCATCAGCCAGGTCAAAGGCACTACGTGAGCTTCTCATTTGCTGCTTTTGGTTTGACTGGTGCTGCTCCATGCCATGGCCTAGCCATTATAACCATCTGTTGGAAGACCTGGAGAGAACATTCAAAATAATGACTATTTTTGGAGATATTTTATGAGGCACTTGAGGTCTACTGCAGCATGAGCAGTCTTTGGGAAAGGGTTACCATGAATCCAGTAAAATAATTTATGTGCTGTCCTATCTCTGTCAAGGGCTATGAAACACATACCAATGCTTGCCTGGCAGAGGGACACCCAGATGAATTTTATTAGTAGTGATGAATCACAATAACATATGGACCTGGTGGCACAGAGCCACTCTGGATTCATCAGATGCTTGAAAGTAAGCACTGCAGTGTGACCTAAGGGCTCTTTTGCCTGACACTGGTCCATCCTAAGAATGATTTGGAAGGGATTTTTATGTTGTTGCAGTGACAGGTTGGTATTGATGCTTAAGAGA